GAATTCTTTCCTTTTTTAAATATTTCCCAAATGATGTTTAACAAAGCAAGGAAATTTTCACAGGATGTCTGATAATATTTTTCCTTCTGAGAAAAAGTCTTATTTGTTTTATTTCAGCTAGAATAAAATCAGTTTTTCATTTTTCAAACACCATTTTAATGTAAAAATTATTAGCCCCTTTTGGCTAATTTTTTTTTTTCCGATAGTCTACAGAACAAACCACTGTTATACAATAACTTGCCTCATTACCCTAACCTGCCAAGTTAACCTAATTAACCTAATTAAGCCTTTAAATGTCACTTTAAGCTGTATAGAAGTGCCTTGAAAAATGTCAAAAATTATTTACTGCCATCATGGCAAAAAGAAAATAAATCACTTTTTTGAAATGAGTTAAGAAAACTATTATGTTTAGAAATGTTTTAAAAACATTTCGCTCCGTTAAGTAGAAATTGGGTAAAAAATAAACAGAGGGTATAATAATTCAGAGGGGCTAATAATTCTGACTTCAACTTTATATATCTAAAAGTAAAATAAATTACTAAATGAGATTGCTCATGTTTCACAGAAGGAAGCTTCGATATTCATCCTGTGGTACCAGGAAAGCAGGCAACACAGAGAAAGACCCGTCAGGTGTGGATCTTCCACCAGAGCAGCAGGAACTTTCCATGCAATGGCACCACAGCCCAGAAAGCCCATTACTGCGCCGCCTGGGCAAGATCAGCAGTTCAGAGTGTAACAGTTCTGATGAACTCACTAACCCTCTGTCAGAGCAGGAGGACAGTGCTTATCGTTCCAGCACCAGTGAAGTCGCTCCACATGAGTCACCGGGTCCCAATCGCTCTAGTTACCCATGGGAAGAATCAGCCATCCAATCAGGACCCTCGATTGCAAGCCACTCCAAACACGCTCAGCGACCGATCGAGATAAAGACTCCACCTTTCCGCCCCAGAATCTTACAGGAACCATCTCAAACAGCTTCAAGAGCATCTGGCCGTGGTGCTCCATCATCTTCACACAGTGGCGCAGTACACAGGCGAATGGAGATCAATGGCACGTGCCCCAGCTCGTCAGACGTGAGCTCAAAATCGGGATCAGACCAGGAAAGAGGGGAGCAGGTGTCCAGCGAGCCCGAGGGTTGGGATAAGCCATCTTCTTCTGTGTCTCCAGGATCTGGAGTGGCGCTGACCACTTATTTCTCTGTGGATAATTGCATGACAGACACCTACAGACTGAAGTATCACCACCAGAGGCCATTGGTCCTCTCCATGCCTGAGCCTAGAGGAGCTGGTAAGGACGGGAGGGATGCGGGACACTCCAGCCGCATGGAGAACCAGTCTGAGCGTGCCAAAAATAAGCCTGAGTCCGGTATGGTAAAGCTTGGCTGAACTGCATTCATATATTGATTTTTAGTGACATTGACTGACCAATCAAACGTTTGGGGTCAGTAAGATTTGTTTTTATTCATTCTTTTGAAAGGTGTCTTATGCTTACAAACGCAAGTTCATGTGGTTTGTAAAAAATATCTATATAATATTGCAATTTTTGTATTATTATTAATTAAAAAAAAATTATTTTCAATTTTTCCTGTGATGGCAAAGCAGACTGTAGAATTCATTGGCATGCGATTCTACAAAAATTATTCTAATATGCTGATTTGGTGCTCTTACTATGATTCATGTTTAAAATGGTTCTGCTGAAAGTTCTCAAAATTTTATTTGCAGTAAAAATATTTCCATATTTAACATTAAAAAAGTTTACAGCCATTTTCGCAAAACTTCAATTCATTTTGCTAAATAGAAATATTATTCTTCATTCTTTTTCCTTCGGCTTAGTCCCTGACTATCAGGGGTCACCACAGCGGAACAAACGGCCAGAAATATTAATGTCTTAAAAAAAATCTTACTCACCTCAAACGTTTGCTTTTAATCAGTAGTAAAGCTTTAATAACATACTAACTGTAGTTAGTAGCTTAACCAAACTAAATGATCCTTTCCAGGCAATAGCAACAATAAGCCCACTGCTAAATGGCACCCTGTCACTTCAAAAGGGCTAGATGAACATGGATATTTGTGAAAGTTATGGTAAGTCCTCACTAGGCTTTCAGATATTGTTATCTGTTGGTCTACATCTACTGTAAAAGTTTGGAATAATACAATTCTTTAAGAATTAATCAATATTGCACATTTGTTTTAGCAATGTACTAATTAAATTATACGTTTTTACTAACAAGTTTCAGTATGTTTGTTAGTTTATGCACTAGAATCCAATATTGAACAACATTTATTAATTGTTTAACCTTATTATTAAATATTTAATACATTTATGAAATATGTAACCTAAATTACTTAATTTAGTAAAAACGTTACACACTGTTAGTTAATAAATCATACTGGATGATCTAAGTTTATGAAAACAATTGATAAATAATGATTCAGTACTTTATCACAGTCTATTTTTTGAAACAAGCCTATATGTGCAGTGCTAGTCATTATTGTGCACTGAATATACTTTAAGTTTTTATATATACATCAACATACATACATACATACATACATACATACATACATACATACATACGTACATACATACATACGTACATACATACGTAAACATTTTTAAGTACAACTAATGTATACATTTTTTTAACTGTCTAAAATATTTGTGTAGTTTGAAAATAATCCACATAATGAATAAGGGTCTTCGCTACCAAAATTCTTTATCTTTTTTGGTAAATGTGTTTGGTAAATGGGTAAATATTATATAATTTAATATAAAATTTAATTTGAAATAAATACGATCATCTTGAACCAGCTGTGATGTATTTACGGGATCTCTTGCATGACAAGAACTGCATATACTGTATACTTGATGCTTCAGTCTAGGAAAAGACTTTTATTTGTCAGCTGAGGTCATGTGGACTATTTTAAAACTGCTTAAATATGGATTTTTTAACAGCAAATATGAACTACATATACTGTAGAGCCCTGTCTTGCATTATAAGTAGAGGGTAGGTTTCTTTTAAAAATTCATTTCTCTTGGAATAAAGAAAAAAAGTCAAATACATATTACTATATATAGTAAATTAATACGAACAAGAACATTGACACGGCTTGACTATTCATACTTTGTAACAACGTGCTTTGAAAGCACCAACCTGTTTGAGACATACTGTGTAACCTAGCAACAAAATTAAGTCATATATGTACAATATACATACTGAGTTTGTGTATTCATACTTTTTTCCCAGTACTTTATATAAAGACCATGCAGAATAATCTGTAGTCTTCTTTCTTATCAGGTCCTGGTGACCCACTGAGAAGTAATGCAAGAGAATTGCCAAAGAAGTTGAAAAATATGGATTGTTTTTCTACTTGTAATTTCAATGTATTTGAGACTGAGGGCAGTGTAACAGAGACTCATCCTTTTGTACCCTCTTCCTGTAAATTGTGACCTTCGAGTATCTTATCAAAGCCATCCACAGGAGGGCAGTATGCACTTTGGCTTAATTTTTGTTTGCTTGTAAACAGGAATGACGATTTTATGCTGAATAACAAAATTATTTATTATCTATTATTGAATTGTGACAGATTTTATATATATATATATATATATATATATATATATATATATATATATATATATATATATATATATATATATATATATATATAAGAAAGAAGTATTTTAGTCTTAAAGACAGAGTCTTAAAGACTAAGACAGCAAGCAATTGTGTCGACTTTAATTTCATTGCAAATGGACCTTTGTACATACTCCCTAGAGGTTATTTGTGGAGTGCCTTCCTGCAATTTTATTCATGCAAAATATTGACCTAACTAAAAATGAACAAATAATGTAATATTATATCTGCTATATATTTTTGGAGATGTCTATGCAGTTATTTTTATTCTTTGTTTAATAAACTTCAAATGTTCTATCACTTATGAAAAATGTGTCTTTGTCTGTCTGTTTGTTTTTTGAATCTGAAAAAAAAAATGAATATGTACTTTCAGTCTTTAAAATCCAGTCATTCTTTGCCTGTGATGACAGTGGGCTCTATTTTGATGGTCCATGCGCAAAACGCAGGGCGTAAACACTTTCAGGGCGTGTCAGAATGCATTTTTGTTAATTTAAGGACGGAAAAATCCGCTTTGAGCCGGCATGTTGTCCGTAGTGTGTGAATGTGTGTGTGGATGTTTCCCAGAGATGGGTTGCGGCTGGAAGAGCATCTGCTGCGTAAAAATGTGCTGGATAAGTTGGCGGTTTATTCCGCTGTGGCGACCCTGGATTAATATGGGGACTAAGCCGACAAAAAAATGAATGAATTGATATATATATATATATATATATATATATATATATATATGTTATGAGCAGACATTCTGAGAACATTCTCGGAACTGTGAACATTCCCAGAATTTGGACAGAAACTCTCAGAGCAACATTTATTCTCTACATCCTTATGATCTTATTGATATGTGCTGAAGGTTAATGCCATTGTTTTTTTTGTTTTTTTTTATATAAACAATTGTTCAACTACTATAGAGTATAAAAACTACTATAGGGTTAAAAATAAAATAGAAACTTTTATTGTTATTTCAAATGTTAATCTAACCATGCCGATAAAACTAGATTTAACTCCTCCAATAAAGATTTCACAACAAATCTGTCAGAAAAATACATTTATCCAACATGAATCACGACACGTATTAAATCCATTCACAAAAGGGCCTTAAGATAGCTTTATTATCATAAATATCAAAACTCACAGTGCAAATGACACGATTTACATAAATGTTTTGTAAACTTTAGGGCTGCCAATCATTAAAGCTATTTTCAGGTTAAATATTCAAACACTATAAAGTTTCATATTGTCCCACTTCAGTTGTAAGTTTGACATTGGGAGTGCAGATAACAGTTTAAGCCCTCTTGAAAATCCTCTTGGCCTCGACTCCATCATAGCTATAGCTCTGTAAGCAAATGCAAAAAGTGAGAACACTACTTTACAGGAAATCCAAACATTCGTCATAATATATAAGAAACAACTCCTCACCTGTACAAGTTCACCATTAACGATAGTCCTGACTGTTGTTAGTACCTTTCCGTTGTCCTTGCGTGTGAAAGTCCCCTTGAGCGTGTCTCCCTCTATGACCCAGGATCCCTGCAATCAGAAAGTCAAAGGTCAGGCTCATTTTCAAGCGGCGCCAGATCTAGTTGACCGGTTAGTGATTTTCTCTCCAGAAAGCTTGTAAAACATGTGTTATGTAATTAATTTATTCTTCTCTGCTATACTCAAAGCCTGAACTTTGTTGCTTATCAATAAAGCACAATGATGCAGCAAAAATAGTCAGTAAGCCATTGTACAACATGACACTCAGAAAATGTTTTTTGCTGTTTGTTTAATCTACTTGTTTAAAATGAGTTGCAACAACACAATTCTAAAGATTTTTTGGAAAACTTAATTGTTTATCTTTAATCCACTTACAGTAAATAAATCGATTTGTGTAAGTATAACATGCATAAATTGTGTGGAATAGTTTTTTTTTTTTTTTACACTATTTCATGGTATCCTCTTTACAAATCTGATTCATGGCAGGATGTGCAAATTGCAAATATGAGATACAAGTTCATATTTGGATTTCACCTACAATATATGTCATATATGCAACATATTTTGAAATATATGGCCACATACATACTGTATATTTTTTCCAACCATTGGAATTAGAATAAATATGCATAAATGTTATATAAGTATATTATATATGTATGTTATATAGGTAATAAGTATATATAAATAAGCAATATGTTGTAATATATATTTACATATTTAGAATTTCGTTTAGGCTGAAATATACTGTATATGTATTTAAAATATACCAAAATTTTGGGGTCAGGTATTTTCATTTGTTATTATACTGTTCATCAAGGTAGCATTTATTAAATGTAATTAAAAAAACAATTATTAAAATTTAAATGTAGTTTTAAATGAAATTAATACTTCAGTAATTATTGTTTTTTTTTACTATTATCAATAATAATAATAATAATAATAATAATTATTATTATTATTATTATTACAACAACAATAATAATAATAATAATAACAATAATAATAATAATAACAATAATATTTAATATAAGAGGGATGTCTGAAGGATCCTGTGACTCTGAAGACTGGAGTAATGCTAAAAATTCACCATTAAAATCAGTGGAATAAATGATTAAATTAAATGATAAACTACTTTTGAAAAGTTATATACAATTTTACAATTTGTACTGTATTTTTGTTTAAATAAATGCAGCCTTGGTGAGCAGAAGAAGCTTATTTTAAAACATTTAAAAATCGCACTGACCCCAAACTTTTGACTGGTAGTGGATGCTGCATATATGACTTATATTTTATATTTACAAAATACAAATATGAACTTGTGTCTCAGACAAGCAATTTGCATATATTGTCAAAGGACTATGTCAGATTTCTATGTGATATGGTTACATCATCATTCAATACCTCTCAACCTTTGCTCTTGATTTTTTTTACCCCTTTTTTTTGGTTCTCCAAAAATCTTTCAGTGAACAGTTCTTATAAGAACCCAGTGTGCAGAAAATTTGAAATAATCAAATAACCATTTTTTTTTCCTATGTAGAGACCAGCTGTGGTCAACATTTGCTGCAGGTTTTTCAAAAATGTGTGTTTTTTTTTTAAGTAAAATAAAGTCTTTAGTGTTTATAAATTAGTTACATTTTTTATTCTTTCACAGCACATTATGTGCACCAGAGAATGTTAAAGACTATGAACTGGAAACATTTGAAGAAACTAGTAGTAAAGGTGCAGACAGCAAACCCATTTTTTGGAAAACAAAATTCATTTATTTTGGTCTATTTGGAAAATCTTCTATGGCTTTTTGGAGAAATGGTGATGGTGACTCTTTTCTTAAACTGACATTGAAAGTATATATTGAGGTATTGCTGTATTATTTAACATTAATATTGTTATTTTATTTTTTTCTCTCAAAGTGTGTTAAGTTATTTTGAATCTATATTATTCTTGATGTTTTTTGTATTAACTTCTTTTAATTTATTTAATTTACTATTTTTATTTTTTGCTAAACTGAAAAATTAAACCTTTGTCAATTTGTATAACAATGTTTAAAATAAAAATTCTTAAAAAAAAGTGCAGTCAGCACACTATAAAGAACCCTTTGTGCAGATTGAATGTTATGGGCTTACTATGGAACCACGCTTATGCATCTGAAATCAGCAATGACTGTGCTTACTGTGAGCTCAGTGCCGTCTGCCAGAGAATAGTCAAAGGTGACGCCCAGAGTAAAGTTAATTTCCAGTGTGCGGAAAGTGCTGACTTCCTTCACGTTGAACTTGTCTCCGGTCTGCTCCAGGGTGATCTTCAGGTTGTCATGGGCAGCCAGTTTCCTTTTCACCATGTTGACGCCTGTTAAAGGAATGCAGTAAATCTCACTTAATCAATCAACTCACTCAAGCAAGCATCGATTATTATTCATCACTTACCCATTTGTTCCATGAACTTCTCGTAGTTCTCATTGCGGTCGACTTTCCAGGTCCCGTTGAAGGTCATGATGATGACAGACTGTTGTGTGATCCTGACAGTGGCCTAACTTTACCCCGAGCCACTCTTTTATACCTGTGCGAGTGGCGAAGCGTTGCCTTATCTGAGTATTATCTTCATGCTGATGTGGCCGAGTAAAGCTCACCAAGTATAAATCTCACCCGCCCAACAGGCTATATGTTACACACATCCCAGCATGCCTTGCTTATTCATTGATTGTGCAAAGAGCGGAGATTTCAAGTCCTGAGAACAAGCACTCACTTGTACTGCGATGGTCAAACATACACGCTCTGTTGTTCTCATAACAAAGTCCTGCTTTTGTTTGAATTGTTTGCTGTTTAAACTGTGTAGGGTGTGTCTGTTATACTAGTAAGTGCCTTGTGTTGCAGTAACTACTGAGGGACTATGAAGAGTGTTTGAAAGCTATGAATTCTAGCCACATGTATTGATTTTTAAACAATTGTGGTGAAAGGTCAAAGGTCAAAACTTTAGATTTAATGGTTACAGTTAAATTAGTTTACAATCTTGCTGCATGCCTCATTGGCTATTGAGAAATACTGGTAACAATTATTTTAAGGCTCTGTGTTGACATGAATGGTTGGTTTTATAAAGTACTTTTTGAAATATTTCATTGCACAAAAATTTTATTTATGTAGAAAAATGTTTTAAGATTATTGAAAAGTTCTTCACACTATATAAAAAGGGTCTTTGAAGAACTTTTTACTACAAAAGTGCAGCTATTGCAGCTAAAATTGAGAATACAGTATATGGCAATGCTTCGTTCTTCCTCGTACCTTTTTTTTGTGCAGTTCTACTTAACAGACAGCTACCAGTGAATATACTTCAAAGCCAGTTCTAAAGCTAACTCAAATATTTACAGTACTAGTACATTATTAAAATGAAAATTTGCACCTGCCAATATTATTTCATAGATCTGATCTGAATACTAATGAACAGTTGTGTTTTGTCCTAAAACCTTAACCCTAACCGAACCATTATTATTGTAACATTTTATCAGTAACATAACACATACGATATATTTATCACAGATAAGTAATGCATAATAATATTTTTAATTTAAAGATAAAGTATTTATCATTTGCATTTACTACTAATATTAAAATGCAAATCTATAAAACACTTTAGATATAAAAATAAATGCACACAAATGTCAAAAACAGACCATACATTCACCAACATTATACAGTAACGACAATAATTCCATGAATATTTTATTTAAAATCTGCAGTACTCATCCAGTTATACTAAAATAACAGCATTATGTATTTTGCTCATTGTTAGTTATTAGTAATATAGTTATTGGAACCTTATTTTAAATTGTATTACTGAATTATCCCCTTGTATTGTTTGAAAATGTTGTAAATATTGATGCAAGGCTGTGAAAGAACAGCTTCAGCATTATCTGTAATGATGAATAGTGTACAAAGCCTGCAAATGATTCAAATTAAGCAACATGCAGTGTGGAAGTTTTATCTGGAGGCTCCATGACAAGATAAAGAGACGAGATATCAAACTGAGACATGATAATCTCTGATGATGGTTTATCTCATCATTACCTTATCCTTAATCTCTTAACAGTGCAATTAAATAAGACCTCTGAAGACCTTTGGTATCGTCCCATTGTAAGACCTTTGGCATCGTCCCACTAAGAGTAGGGACAAGAAAAGGTCCAAGCTGATAATAATTGATTTCATGCATGTTTAAATGTATAAAATAATGTAAAAAGTAAGCTAAAAACATCTTTTATACTATATTTACTACAAACATTTTGTAGAATTTGCAGAATCTGCGTAACAGTGATCTTTTTCAGATTTAGTTATTTTTTTGAGGTCGTTAATAAGAAGTCTCTTTTCGGTTTAGTGTGAAAATGTATATATAATATAATAATAGAATAGAATATAAAATTATTAATATTATTACTAAATCTTATTGCTATAGACAAATTTAAATATAAAGCAGTTATTACAGGCATGAACCTTCAGAAACCATTCTAATGATTGTACTGATTGTACTGGCAATTTAGGACAAATACAATAAAATAAATTCAATTAAATAAATTAAAATAAAGGGTGGAGCGGTGGCGCAATGGCTAGCGCTGTCACCTCACAGTAAGAAGGGCTGGTTTGAACCTCAGCTGGGTCAGTTGGCATTTCTGTGTGGAGTTTCCGGTTTCCCCCACAAGTCCAAAGATATGTGATGAATATATAGGTGAATTGCGTAGGCTAAACTGTGTGACTGTGAGTGTATGGGTGTTTCCCAGTGATGGGTTGCAGCTGGAAGGGCATCTGCTGCGTAAAACATATGCTGGGTAAGTTGGTGGTTCATTCTGCTGTGACAATACTAGATCAATAAAGGGACTAAGCCAAAAAGAAAATGAATGAAAATGAAATATTATTTGCTTAACATGTGTGAGTAAAACATTTGATCATTATTTTTTATGAATGGAAAAAAACAACAACATTTATTTTTTATCATAACCTAACTCATCTTATTTGGTAAAAGTATTAGCTTCTTAAAAGAAAAATAGTGCTTATAGACATAACATGTGGTTTTACAAATCCAGTATGTTCCCCTGAAGCATTTGGGATTTATATGCGTGCTAATCTGCAATTTTCCAGCACAGTTCTTCTGTGAAACATAAAAGGTTGTTTATTAATCAGGTTTGTAAAGTCATGCATGGTTGCTCTAGTCCAATAATCCTACAATTTGCATTTGCACACTATCACTGGGAAATAAACAGTTCTCTGATGTACTCAGAGTTTAGACACAATCCAAAACAATTTGTTTTTATGATGCTTTAATCTTACATAATCAATTGCCTTATGCGCTTGGCATGGTTATGTATTTTACTACAGAGGAGTAGTAACTGCTAGCACAATTTGTTCAGAAGGTAATGATTAACTATTAAAAGGCAATGATTAACTAACTATCTATTATCTACTTCTCTGTGGAAGTGGAAATATTGAAAATATTGGGGTCATAGTGCTTCAGAACGATTTTAGCCATTGGTTTTCATTGCAACACTTCAGAGCTATTTTTAAAAGAATGTACTTACTTATTTGTACCACAAGACGGAGGTATTTGCAGTAATATCAGGCTGGTCAAGTTTGGCTGGAGTGATTCCAGTCATGTACAAGTAGTAGGCTATTGCTTTAGGGGTTATTAAAGTCTGGCTGTAAAGCCAGCATTTTTTTTTAAATAAAGGTGCCTACACACCAATCATGATCAAGACAACGATACAGATCTGATTTACTGTTCTAAATATGAAAAAAAAAAAAAAAACAGAGTTTTTACCTCTATCTACACCTACACCATCTTACCACTGACTATCGACAGTGATAGATGAAGAATGTCCTGAAGTAACTTTCAAAACAATACAGTGGAGATCACAAAATGCTAACTATTTATAAACACTTCATCTTTATAATCATTCATTCATTCATTTTCTTTTCGGCTTAGTCCGTTAATTAATGGGGTCGCCAGAGCGGAATGAACCGCCAATGTTTTACGCAGTGCATGCCCTTCCAGCTGCAATCCATCACTGGGAATCTCCCACACACATTCACAACAGACATTTTTAGCTTACCCAATTCACCTACAGCGCATGTCTTTGAACTTCTGGGATAAACCAGAGCATCCAGAGGCAACCCACGACAACCCAGGGAGAACATGCAAACTCTACACAGAAATGCCAACTGACCCAGCCGAGGCTCAAACAGTGACCTTCTTGCTGTGAGGCAATCATGCTACCCACTGCGCATCTTCATAATCTTCACCATTAAATTTTTTAAATCTGGAGAGATCTGCAGAGTGGATAACAACATTAACAACCTGGGCCCGGTTTTTCAAAAGGTTTAATCCGGATAAAATTGATCCAGATTTAGTAATCCTGTTTTTGCGATCCGTGATCACGTAATCCAGCTCATTTTTTGAGCCAGTTTTTCAAAGCAACTTCGGATTGGATCAATCTGATCTGGATAGGAACTTTTCAGGATCACTAAATCTGGATAACCAGTGCTCAAACAGCATAGGACATCACAATGTAGAACTATAGATATGTAAAGAGTAGAATAGCATGGGGTCAATATAACTTTATTTTTATTTGAAATGAAAACTAAGAAAAAAAATTATAATAATTAAAATAATAATAATAATAAATAATAATAAAAACAAGAAAAACAACACCCCATCCTCTTCCAGCAGTCCGCTCATCTGAGACCTACAACACTGTAGATTGAGGATATTTATAATAAGTTTCAATAATAAAAAGATGTAAATAATAAAAAGACTTAATGTCAAAAACTCCACAATAAGTTCAGACTTCCTCATCTGATGTGGAGAGAGCAGCTTGTCTGAGCGTAGTCTTTAGGAGGCAGATCTCAAGTCATTGGTCTTGGTTTGCTGCAGTTTGGTCAAGGTCAGTTGTTCCTCTACCAGATGAACCTGTGCTTCTGCCCTTTCAGTCTCTTTTTGCAATTGTTGAAAGAGATTTCAAAAATTAGTCATTGCCATTCTTTGCATTATTTTTTATTCTGTTTTATTCTATTGCATACATCACTAATAAATATTCTAAAAAGAAAAACATTTTCCATTGCGATGAATATATATATATATATATATATCAATTAGTGACATAATAAAGTTGATTGTTTTTGGTCTGTTTTAACAGCTGTTTGGGGGATTATTTTATGAGGCCAAACTCGTTCTACTTTGCTGTAGGCCTATACTGAAAGGCTGAATACGTTAAAGCCAATAATCACTATAGCCTGACGGATGAACAAATAAAATTAAAACTTTATGAATAAATAGTATATCTCGTAAGATCCAAAAATAGTATTATTTATTAAATTTTTAAGTTTTCATTACATTTTGGGCATGAAATTCACGCTAAATCCACCCTTCTGATGAGATCAGTTTAATCCAGGTTTTTTGGATCAAAGTGATCCAAATCCTACAAAAAAGGTCTGAAAAACCCAAACTAAAGGTTTGATCCGGATCAA